GCACTAGAAGGCTACACCTCGCTTTTCTATTTGACTTGAAATTAAAGGGTTTTCATGGAGACCCCCAACCAACAGTTGTGTAAATTGCAATTCTACACAAAGCATATTTTCCTCAAATGTCTTAGAAATACTCCCGAGTTTTTCCTGTTTATAAGTATGTCAAGCTGGGGCTCCCCCCGCCCCTGCTTGGGTCCGCTGGGTAGCACACAGGCAGATAGACCTGGGGATCAGCACCGGGAAACGTTATCAATATGAAGAAAGAAAAAAAAAGACATTATTACTCAAATTCTTATAAAACCAGAGGATAGCACTTACAATACCACTTTGCGGAAGTCCCTCAGTAAATTATTTGGAAACTTTTTGAACTTTTATTTTGCACTATTTTGTTGTGCGCGCATGCCATCCACCGCGCACACGTGAGGTGCACCACACGTTCTCCGATGCATGCACTGTCTGTGCTTGCAAGCATGGTTCAAACCTGAAACCCTAAACATAGCGAACAGTGTGCACCTCCATAGTGTTATTTTGTCTACAAAGGCAATGTGAAATACATGACAGGCAAGAGCTCCAAATCTATCACTGAATCTATCATGAAGTCCAATGATATGGCAAGAGCGAGCAAAGGCACAATGGTCTTTGCAATTGTTGTTGCTTTCATCCTTTCTTTTATTGGATGCCAGAAGTCCAACTTACTGCATCCCTTTCTAGGGCACCCTCGAGCCCACCCGCCAACATGGTCTATCCCCGTGTCATCAAGGGTTATTACCACTCCACAACTGTCATTTCTTTCCTCCTTTTTCTTACCACCTTTCATCAAAGGACCGTCATCGCTCCATAACTGTTAATTCTTTTTCCCCGACTCTTATTGGATGGCATAAGAGTTAATGAAACCGAAGCCATCCCCGCAACTAAATTCATTTCCAAGCTTGCACCCAGTTTTATATCGACCCTTCACCGGGATCAACATTGCTTTCGTCGAACGACCGTGCACCCTACTGGTTCACAACAAGTTTCCTATTTCCCAAAATGGCCAAACCTTCCATGTCGAAAATCAATCAAGGACAGACTAAATTAACCTACAAATACCCCAACATACTCGCCACACACACCTCAGCTAGGAAATCAGTTGCGGCGAGGCCTAAATGAGCCTACGGATGTGCCAAGATACTCACCAAAGCTCCTCCATGCTGTTCTGCAAAGGAGTTCCCGTTATCAGGAGTTTATTCTTCGAATTGAATTCCTGTGATCCACACCAATGCGAACGAATTCAAAGATCCAGCAAATAAATAGACACACTGTTAATACAAGGAACTACCGATATAGTGCTACCTCCCAGCAATCGAAGTTGGACCCAGTAGAAAGGAGGCATCGCCTTCGAATAATCAAAATCCAGGGTTTCACTTGAGAAAGGGTATGAACTCTGTTCTTTCTGGTGTCAGGTATAACGGTGGTTCAAACCAGAGTATAGTAACTAGCCTCTGGCCCGTGCATCGCAAACCTGTTTATCTTCTCATTTCTTTCCATGGTTCATAATCCGGCATCCATTCCTTGTTCACAACCGCTCACACCTCGGCTTCAGGTCCAGATGCTGAAAGTACGGTAGGATTGACAGGTGCCTCCAGGTAGAACTGACATGTGTTGCAACCTTAGCCATATGTTGCACTGGGGTCTCTACCTGGTAGTCCCGGACAAAACTACGGTAGAACTGACAGGTGCCTACAGGTGTTCCACAAGGGCAGCCAGCGTCGAGAAGCCCACTACCAGCCTATCAGCATGCACACAGGGCACATTTGTATGGTGACATCGTCATTATTATCATCATCACAACAGCTACATCCATTCTGTGTTCGGACCCTGCTCCTGATCATCACTATTATTATCATCATCACAGCTGCAACCCTTCTTCATCACCATCATTATCATCGTCGTCGTCATCATCATCATCATCATTACCACACCACCATCATCATCATAATCACAGGTGATGCATGCCACATCACCATCATCATTATCATCATCCTCATTGCACAACCACCCTCATCATGACCATATATAAAGACCATAAGTACGTTAGCTGTACGCTCGTCAGGTTGGACATCCACGCAGGCCCACGTTTGTGGAGACTGCATGCACAGGGAGATTCTTTGCCGGGTGAGGTGGAAAAATTGGTGACTTTTAAAGTGGACCTGAAGCCAAAACTCTCTGCCAACCTTGCAACTGGGACTACGTTCACTCTCAGAAATCTTGAAGTTGACACTCTTAAGACCAGGGCCACGCTTTCTCAGAGCAAACAAAGCTACATCCATGCTTAGCAACCTGGAACCGAGGACTCTGATAACTACTTCCCCGGAATAAAAAGTACGTCATTATAGCTGTATTTAGACTGAAAGACACGCCAAATTCAGCTACAATGACCGTACGCTGTATTCGGAGGAAGAAGGCATCCTTTCTCAGCACAAACACGGCAGCAGCAGCGCCCAGCCCTCCCTGATACCGAGCCGTTGAAGCATATTGAACCCATAAGGCCTCGTTGGGGCCACAAAGACCTTAGCAATTCCAGAGAGCGACTCGCTAATGGATGCGGCATTGGGAACCACATGGAATATTCCCAATACCCTCTATGGCACTAGGGCCTCCCCTCTCGAATAAATGCAACAGGGCCTCCCCTCACATGGCACTAGGGCCTCACTGCACCACTTGACGAGGTGAAAAAGAAAAAAAGAGAGTGAATCTTCCACCTTACTAGCAGTTGATACGCTTGTCATTCTTCCACATTAGGTGCGTAGTGCAGCGAGGCCCTATCCAGACAGACGGTAAAGAACATGTACAATTACCGGAAGTCCATTAGATCTTCCTCGTTTAGGTAAAGCTTTCTCCATGTGTAATCGCTGGTAGAGAGATGACAGGTGGAACTTGAAAACTTCACCAACTTTTCCTCATCTCACTAGCTTCCAAGCTTCTCAAATTGTGGACACTCAGATCCTAAATGAATGATCTCCAACATCTGCACAAATCAGGACTAATTTCAGGCCTAAGAAATGCACCATAAACCAAGAAATGGACCAGGTGCTCACCATGAGACTGGAATACAAGGATGCATCACAGTTCTTCAAACGATGCGCCTCGTCAACCATCAAGTAGTTCCATTTGATCTTCGAAAGCACTTCCCGATCTTTCAGAACCATTTCGTAAGTCGTCAACAGTGTGTTGAACTTGACCAACCTCCCTGCCTTCTTGCCAGTGTAGAACTCGTACTGCTGAATCACCTGCTCAAAGTTGCAACAGGTTACACAAAAACATCACGGCGACTTCACATACTCGAAGCTTTGCAACTTCACGTACTCGAAGCTTTGACAAGGCGAGGGCACGATTTCGTTTCTTTTTTACTGGAGCCGCCACCGTTTCCACTCATTTCCTTTGCCTGGGGCGCGATTTCCACTTCTTTACACTCATTTACACTCGAAGTTGCAACACGGTACATAAACATCACGGTGACTTCACATACTCGAAGCTGAGACGAGACGGGCCACCACCGTAATGAAGTTTAGCAAAAGAGCAAAAAAGAAAGAAATTTCCGGAAAAGCTTGATCCCCATGAATTTGAGTTAAACTTGTGTGCAAAATGCCTTGTGAATCCAAAAGAGGGACACCGCAGCTTCATTAAACCACCCCAACCTCCGAGCCTCTTTTTGCCGACGGGGAGTCGAACTGCGCGCCAAAGCGCCAGCACGGAGTTTTTGTTTTCTTTTGACTGGTGCCACCAGCCTTTGTGGTCAGGAGCACCCAGCCTCTCTGCCAGCCTCCGAAGAATGCGGTATAGGTTACTTTTATGACTTGAATTCCTAGTCTGTAAGGTAGTGGTGGTTTAAGTCACCGCTCCATCAGGACCTTTTTCAACAAACCAACATCCGCATTTCACTGAGCCTAAAATCTACAGTGCCGCCATGAGGAAGCAATAGTTGTGGTGCCCTTCTCCACCGAACCTATACCAGGCCTTGGCACTGTTGAGTTTGGCCCAGTACTTGATGACAAGAAAAATGAACAGTGCAGAGTCTGTTGGAGTGGTTGGTTGTTTATGGGATAATAACCAATAACCAAAGAAGCAAAAAAGCAAAATACCAAAGAGTCCACAATTTATAACAGAAACCGGGATGCTTCGTAGCAATATACACAGGGTCTGGAAAGTTGAAGCTATGTTCCCTTTCTTGAGGGTGTTCACACAAAATAAATGGGGCGAGGGTCTGCCAAGACAAGGAGTCGATTAGAGAGGTCATGCACAATTTGGACCCCGTTGCATCTGGTGTGAAGTCTTCCGGAAAGCAAAAGGGCCCTCTGTGGACCACCACTACATCCGAGGCTGTTTTTACCGATCCAAAGATTCCAAAGCCATGCTGTGCGAGTCCCAAAGACCTATGATGCCCGATTAACATAACAAAAACATAATGGTACACAAAGCCACTTTGAAGTGTACCTGTTTGCTTTGCTAACCCAAAATGGAAATAGCACCTTTGTCTAAAGTCTTCAAGAAACTTCATACCGCCGAAGCAAAATGAAATGGCGCGGGCTTCCCCAGGCAACAATTTCTCTCCTTTTTGGCTGACGCTGCCACCCATTCTGGTCCCGTAGGCCCAAGGCCCGGAAGTTGTGGATGTATACAGTATTACAGTTGTACGCGTTTCCTTTGCCTGGGGTGCAAAGTGGTGATTTAAAAGACCACAGCCCTGAACACCAGACAACTTAATTTTTTAATAAAAAAAACTTAAAAAAGAGAAAAAGATTTCACATTTGAATGCCAAAAAAAAAGACTGTCACAGACCTGGACACCAGACGCCAGATGGTCTAGACTGAGTCCTGACCTCCCTGGCTGAACTAGCCCAAGGGATTCCATAGTATACAATTCCGTTTTGATTTGTTTCCTATCTTAAGTTACGAATTTCCTCATGACAATTAGGAAGAACTTCCGAAGAAGTTTTTACTATTTAGTATTTACTACTGAAACGCTGAACAAGCAGCACATCTCTTTTTCTTTTTTGCAGGATTGAAAATCTGCAAGGAATATGAGTGTGAACAATATACAGAAAACCAATGTTGCGTATCACACAGATGTCGAGGTAGTCGTATCCAAGCAGAGAGTACACAATGCACCGAGAAACCATCCATACAGAGCAATACAATGAAATAATGAGCCAATGATCAAGCCCGTAGGCCACACCAAAACAGAATCCAAAGTCGCTCCTCTCTGTCTGGCGCCCGGCGCCCAACCTACTCTGCCCGACTATCCTACCTACAGCTGATTCATGCAACAGGCTCACTTCAACTCTCGAAGACCAATTTACATGTCTGTCAACTCCATAGCCGACCTCTCTTCATGCACCAGGTACGTATCTCGTCACCCTCAATCAGACCTTGATAACCCCACTCTGTGCCTCCTTCCCTGAAGACCACCAGACCACCCGCTATACCCCCTGGCGCCCAGCAGCCCGGCTATGGCCACCTGCGCCCCGCTGCCCTGCAGCGCCCCTCCTTCACCACCTCGCACCCCGTCAGCGCCTTTGGCAGCAGCGCAGCATCAAGCGAGAGCGCAGCAGCACTTCCGCATTGCCAGCACTGGCCAGAATGCATGGCCTGGGCTGCCTTTCTCCTTTTGTGGAAGTGGCAGCCTCCTGGATGCTGCGTGTGGCCTGGCTGGAAGCTTCCAGAAGCTTCCAGTTGGGCCTCAGACCCTGCGCCCAGGCCCAAGACTACAGTTGAGGGCCTGGGCCCCTTTACAGTTGGGCACGGCCTGAGTCTCCGGACTTGGGCTGTTTGATGCATCTGTGCAGGACCCCCAGCCAGGTGCGTCGGCAGTACTGCCTTTGCCAAGGCCGACGCCCTGCTTCCCAATGCATCGGCAAGGCCTGGGCCAACTGTATGACGCAGCTTTGTGAGACTCACGCGTCTACCCAACCAACTGGCGTGCTGCGAGAGCACGAATACCCACACATGGAAATATCAAATTTTGCCTCTGACGAATATTCAGGCCCGCCTTCACTTAGGGCAGGCACTTGGCTTGCTGGGGGCCTTAGCCCTGATCATGTGATGTCTGATAGGGCCCCTTGAGGGCTCGTTCCTCACAAATCCAAGTTTGGAAAGAAAAAGCAAACAGTAAAATACAGTATTTTGAATTCAATCCGGACAACTCCAAAAACCACCAGGCGCGCCAGACAATTAGAAATGACGCTCCTGTGAGTGTGCTGCAATGCGGGGGGTACTGTGGGGCCTTTCAACTTGCCAGCTGCCGGCGGTTCGCACCAGCAGGCACAAACTTATGCGCCAACTTGAACAGTTTTTTCTGCTCAGACTTCATCAAAAAGGAAAAACGGGGCCACGGATTTAGGTGCCGATCTTTCCAGCAAACATACTTCAGAGGGGGAAAAAAAAGAACATCCTACGATGGTGGAAATGTGCAATTTTTTTCAATTGCAATTTTGGCTTTTTTTTTCGCAACTCTTAGCTCCGCTCTGCTACCAATAGAACCAACATTTTCTGCTGCCAGCCCACACTGGCAGTTCTATTCTTTGCTCATTGGGCGTTTAAAGAATCCGTAAAAAAGTGAGAGCTCAACCGTTTTTTTTCTTTTTTCTTTTGGGGTGGGGTTGTGCGGGGGGGGGAGCGGATTGTACCCGGTTCAATGCC